GTTATCTTGTTGTTGTTGTCTACATTCAGAGATACTATGTCCGTATCGTCGGCAATAATTACACCATTTTTTGAAAGATGGTTTACCTTTAAAATTTGGGTGTTTTTCATAAATATTTAGTATTTCAGTGATTTTTTCAACTAGATCTGTATCTGATTCCTGTATGTTACTGATGTGCGTAGTGTTTGTTTCGATTCGATTAACATACTGTAGTTTTAGATTTTCTGTTTCTTCGAGTTTCATTGTGATTTCCGCTTGTTCTAGTTTGTCTACTAGTTTTCGAAAATCTAAATCTGGCTCTCGAATTGAGGAAAGATGAGATGCTCTCTTTTTTATTGCTATTTTCCTTAATTGAGGTGTTAAGGTCATCATTAAAATTTCTGTCATTTTTGTGTTTTTATAGTCATGTGTATTTAATGAATATGCTTTTCGAACTAGTGTTTCGATGCGTACTGCTAATTGTTTGATGGTTTCATTTGGTAATCTGCGAATTTCATTACATAAAACTCTTTGGTGTTGTTTATTTCTTTCGGAGTCAAACATTTTTGAAAATTCTTGTGTAAATCTTTTCCAATCTGATTTTATTTCTATAGGTAATACTGAAAACCATTTTTGGGCTGCGCCATCTAAGGTTGTTTGTATCAACGCTGTGCGTCGATGTATCCAATTTTGATGTAATGGTGTATTAATTGGTTCAGGTCCTATATTTAAAATTAAATTTGCTGTTACTGCATTTAAATAATCTTCTACAGAATATTCAGGATCTGTTCCTGTGAAAACCATTAGTGTTTTATTTGATGTTATTGATGATCCACCCATAAGGTATGGATTCATTGTCATTTGTAGTGATTCTGCGGCATTTGGCATTTGTGAAAAATTTGAAAGTTGATTCTTTGTTATTTCGTGTTGTTGAAGATAATATGGGAGTGGTATTTCGTTTTGCATTTGAGTTGGTTGGTACGAGTGTGTGATCGTTGGATTTTGCGGTTGAATTGGTTGAAAAGATTGTGTATTAGTTGGATTTTGCATTTGTATTGGTTGTTGATTTCGTGTTTCTGTTGGATTTTGAGAAAAAATTCTAATATATGTATAAGGTTTTTGTGCTCCTTGTCCGCGATATTCTTGTGTATACGGTGCAAAAATATCTGGTTGTAAACAATCGTCATCAGATGATAAGTAATCCGTATGATGAGGTGCTTGCTTTTTATTTTTATTTTTTTGAAAAAATGGGTAATTTTCACTGCGATCCTGTGGGGGATGTGAATTAGTTTGAAAATTTACTGAGTTGGCCGTTGTCATTGGGTTATTCCAATGATGAGAACTTATATGATTATTATCAGGTTTTCGTGGGGGATAATTTGTTTTTGACGAATGTGCGTAGTTATAATTGTGTTCTGCAAAAGTGTTTCTTGTGAACGTTCTTCGTGTTTTTGACGGTATTGTCGTAGGTCTATATGTTTGATAATCCATATGTGAATATTTTGGAGCAACCGAAGGTTTAACGGTTGATTGTAAGGTTACTTGTGCCGTTGAAATGTTTGTATTTTTGGTGTTGTTAAATTTGGACGTATTGGTGAAATACTTTGTTGTGTAGTTGTTGTTGTTTGGACGATTTCTTCATTTATGAAGTGTGATGTTGTTTGAATATCTTGTTGTGTAAGATTTCTAGTTCCATTAAGGTTTTCATTGTGTATGACGGTCGAATTTAAACTATTATTTCGTGTATCAGGTAAAAATGTATTGTAGTTCAATGGTGTTGCATCAATGGTCAGTGGTACTACTCTTACATAATCTCTTTGATAAGATATTGTACTTATTGCTTGACTTGAGATTGATTGTGGGATATTTATAAATGCATGATGAGACCATTCAGGGTCCCAAACGTAATCTGACTGTTCTGTGATGGCAGTATCATCGTTTGGAATTTGAGGTCTAAAATTTTTTCTTGCTTGTGAAATTAAGTCTATATTATGTGTGAAATAATCTATTATAAACCATGCCAAAATTTTTTGTAAATCATGTTTTGTGTGTTGTGAAACATCGTCTTTAGTGAAATTTTCTTTGATTATATGTAGAAAAGTTGAAAATAATGTAATTTCATTTCGTACTTTTATATGTTTGGATGTCTCAGTTGGTGAGATATATTGAATTTCTGTTTTTTCTAATATTGAAATGTAGCTATATATTATTGCAAAGACTTCGTTAGTGAATATAGATTTTGCTCTTTGTGAGTTATAGTATTGTATACTTTTAATTTATTCTAAGAATACTTTTGAAAATTCTAATTCAAGATCGTCTGTTTGAATTACATATTTGCGATGATTCGGATTTGGTGTGCTGAATTCTATGGTGTAGATTCCGTATTGTTGTGTTAAATTACATATATCTTTCAGATAATGTTCAATAATTTGTCTTTTGATTTTTACATCTGGGAATTCTGCTTTGCATGGACTGATTCCGGGTTCAAACAAATTTAGGAGTAAATTCTTGCAAAATATATGCTGCCCTCTATCATTGGGTGCATCTACGAGGAAGGGGTAAACTTCTTCATCATCTGGACTTTCGTCACTTTGAGTGTGGCTGTGGCTCATTTTTTCGTTTAATGACTGTTAATATATAACTATCGATGTGCCTAATTGGTTGATTCCAATTATACAAGTGTACTGGTTTGTGTTTATATTGTTTTTTTATTCTTCTTTTTCCTCTTTTTGATGAATTTGAAGTTGTTTCTGAGTCGGAAAAACATAATTGATCGTGGATAGGACAATTTTTGTCAATCGATTCTTTTAATTTATAGAGTTCATCTAAATTGCTGGCTTCTGATTCTGAAAATGCGTTTCTATTTTTTGAAAATCTTTTTCGTGTGATTTGTCTTTGTTCGTTTATTATTTTTCTTTTAATTGTTAGTCGTTTTGTTCTAATATATCCAACTGTTTGTGTATGAGGTGTGATTACAAGATCGTATTTTTTGTTATCTATTTCGCAATTGTGTAAAACGATTGTTTGTTTATTTCCTAGATTTTTGAATGACATAAGGTTTAGGATGAGGGATGCAAAAAGTTGTTAGATGATGTCTACTTTTCTTAAACTGTTAGTCCTTACGATTTTTTGGTTAGCCTAACCTGGGTCTTTTTGTTCAGGGTTGGAGAGAAAAGTATATCGATTCCGAAGAATGATTTTTTACTTTCTCGTGGCTAGTATAAGCTAAGGTGTTAACTTACTTAATCTTACTTGGGGGTAGTGATTGTGTTCAAGGGTTGGAGAATAGTAAATCGATCCACAAGGTTCAGGTATAATTAGAACGCAAGTAGTTCGTTAGATACTATTTTAAACTTACTAAGTCTAAGATTTATCCTGGGTCTGGTAAGAGGAGGGTTCAAGTGAAGGATGAATAACCGAAGTTCTTCACTGTTTATCCTAATTTGAATGGTTAGTTTTGTTGAAAAATTTCTATTAGTCTTGGGTTTTTTGGAAGGGTTGGATAGTGAATCGACGTTTGAGGTCGTTAGACACTTGCTAAGTGGGTGGGGGAGAACAAAATTGTTCTTTTTGATCCAAGGATTGGCCTTGATGATCAAGTTTTAAATTTAGTGAAATAGAAAATTAATTAAGATCCAAGGATAAGCCTTGATGATCTGATTTTAAAATTAAGTGAATTTAAGTTTAAAATGGTTTAAATTTATTTAAGAAAAAGATTTAGCTTTTTAATGATATTAGTGAGCTTATGATTGCTGTTATGTTTAGGTGATGAAGCTGGGACAACAAATGATTTTATGATTACTAACAATTTATTGTCATTCTACTAATTTTTGTTTTTATTTTCAATAAATATTTTCCAAACATGTTTTATATAAGACTGCAGAATTTAAGAAAACGATCTGAGATCTTTTTATCAATCGTTATTGTATATTAATAATTTTGTTTAGCGCCAGTAATGATCATGAAGTTTTGACCTCAAAATTTTATGTTTGCAGATGAAAATCTAAATTCATTGCTAATAAGATTCTAAATATAAAAGTTTGTGTTGGCTTTTGCCGTACAATCATATAACTATATGGTAAGTTTCTACTTTGTCGTATGTCGTCTCTTGTTCGAGGTCTTCTTGCGATTCCGAGCAGTTCTGCTATCGTTCGGAATATCGGCTCTGATCTATTGAGTCGTAGAGACATTTCGATTAAATTATCGTCGTATAACATTTTTAAAATGTTTTGTCTAAATTCTAATCTATTTTTTTGGTTGAATCTAAGCTATTAAGGTCTATTCGAGACTTATGGTCGCACCAGATGAGTTAGAACCGATGTGGTTAACTCATAGAGTAATTTCGGATAGGTTACACCGTCTGCTCGTCACGCTATCTTATTTTCGGCCGGATAGATTCGTGCAACTTCTTAGTCTAATACCGATCCTAATCTTACTCTTATACTTACTAGTCTCAGGGTGTTTAACTAGTCTCTGCTAGGCTCAATAGATCTAGGGTATACTGGTTTGTTGCGGCTGCTGAAGTTCTCTCGGAGAGACAACTAATTTCTAAGTTAAATTCAAATCTCTCTGGTGCTGAAATTACAAGTAATTTCAGCACTTACAAATAAGTGGGTTGTTAGTTAGATGGATCATGATTGGTTAATATTAAATACTTTACAGTGGTAAAATATCTAATTTATCCAATCATAAAATATAGTTTAGATCAGGTTCCAATTTGCTGGATTTCTTAAAAAGTACCAAAGGGGGACGCTTTGGGTCGGCAGGTGGTGGAATCCCAGAGGGAAAAGAGGCGTCCGCCGCCCCCTCCCCCCGTCCCACCCCACCCCCTAAATCCGCCCCAGATTTATAGTATAATGCTGAATCAGTGATGACAATCTCTGCGAGGTCAACCCGGGATGGTCAAAGATTGCGTTTCAGCGCCTGAAACATACATAGTTGCTCTGTTCCCAGACCTTTCTCCGTCATTTTAAACCAAAAAAGGCGCGCCGATGACCCAAAATAGTTGTGGACTATTGCAGGCGTCCTCCTATGGCCTCGGGGGTCACTACTGGTTCCACTACGACTACTTCTCCGACCACACCTCCTTGGACCATGACTCTTTCTCCTCTATGGGCAACAGATTGGCCACTTTCATGGTCTACCTGTCAGATGTGTACTTTGGAGGAGCCACTGCATTCCCACTACTCGGAAAGAGCTTCCAGCCAAAGAAAGGTGAAACTTGAACAGTAGTTTTCACCTGGGTTTTGTGTTTTGACCAATCAAAAGTTTCTACCTTTTATGGGCTATCTTTCTACCGCACATGATCTGGTAGATTAACTCAATTTAATCAAAATTTGACCGATAATTTAACTAAACGAAAACTACCAAATTGGAGAAATATTATTATTATTTAAAAAAAAATCAATTGTGCCAAAAGTTTTAATCGTATTTTTTCACTCGTTTTTTTCTCATTCAATTTTCTATCTAACCACTTCACGTGACGTGATTTTTTGTCACTTTTTAACAATGATGAAGCAGTTTTGATAAGTCTTTACCGCCCAAAAATCTCTCCAATGTCTTGTCTCAACTTCCGGCTGTTTTTAAGCCGCAGTTTTTCAGCAAGCTTTACGGGAGATTTTGGTGTTTGTCCGACACTCGACCCTAGTGTCATGTTCCCTAGTGTGCTACCATGTTTCGACAAAAATGACTCAAATAATGAGCTCAACTACGTTTCATTTAAGTTGCTGAACAATAAATTGACTAAAATCATCATTTTGAGTTATAACCGAGGTGGTTAACTCATAGAGTAATTTCGGATAGGGTACACCGTCTGCTCGTCACGCTATCTTATTTTCGGCCGGATAGATTCGTGCAACTTCTTAGTCTAATACCGATCCTAATCTTACTCTTATACTATCTAGTCTCAGGTTGTTTAACTAGTCTCTGCTAGGCTCAATAGATCTAGGGTATACTGGTTTATTGCGGCTGCTGAAGTCTTCTTGGAGAGTCAACTAATTTCTAAGTTAAATTCAAATCTCTCTGGTGCTGAAATTACAAGTAATTTCAGCACTTACAAATAAGTGGGTTGTTAGTTAGATGGATCATGATTGGTTAATATTAAATACTTTACAATGGTAAAATATCTAATTTATCCAATCATAAAATGTAGTTTAGATCAGGTTCCACCCATCCGGGTTTTACAGAGTTTTTTAGAATAGTCTTCTGTAATTCAAAGGATGGATGATGGACGTTGGTATTTGGCGAACATCATAATTCTTCTGGGTTTTCGTGTTAGAGAAGTTCCAGGTTCAATCGCTGTGTCTTTCTCATGACAACGACTGGGTTTTCGCAACAAACTCAAATCTGATTTCAGAATGGTTGGCTATGACAGGTTTTTCTGTTCCATGTAGAGAACTTCTTTTGGGTTGACCTTGTCTGGGAATGGCGTGGAGATTGTGCGTGGAGGGGATGCCTGGTTACTCGGATCTGTACGTATACTTGAACATCGAGGTGGTCATTGGTCTAGTTCAATGAAGTCCTTTTCTGCGAAGTCAAGTCGTACTGTAAATCCTTTGAGTTGTGATTGTGGGCGGCATATTGATTGTGGTTGGCCATTCTTTTTCGAGTGTAGTGGAGTCATTTTGTCTTTGGATGTTCGTCTGTGGTGTTGTATGCTGATCTATATACTGCAAGGTATAATTTACATTTTATAAAAATTTTATTAGTTTAGTGTTTTAATTATGATTTTGGTTAGTTGTTTTCACAAAAGCTTTTTGTTTTAGTTCGGTTATTTTGAAGAATTACTCACCCTTGAGTACCTCTTATTAAAAATAGAAGTGTGGTCACAAAGCGTGGATGTAGCGCGGTGGGTTAGGCCGGCTATAGAGCATGCTCAGGACGTCCTCTCTGGTGGGTTAGGCCAGGAGTGGGAGTATGATTTCGTGCGGCTTCTCTGAGAGGTCCTGTTATGTGATAACGTTTTATGTTGGGTTTATTGTGGTTTTTCTTATGTTTCGTTGGTTGTGTCCTTTTTTCAAAAATCAAATTGTTTTTGGTATGGGTTTGTCTTTAGACTTTATAATAGTCTTCAAAAGAATAAATTATCCAGTTTTAAACTGGGTTAATCCGGTTTGGGTACCGTTGGTTTCCTTTTCTTAGTCATGCTGTTATTCTATGTGTTGTGGTGTTTAGTAAGCTGCATTGGTTAGTTTTGTTTAGTATATAATTCCTTTCCAACCGGGTTAAAGGAAAGTTTGAAACTTGTTATCGTGTGTTAGAGTTGTTGAGTGTGAAAACTTAAAACTGAAATTCATTATTTAAACAATTCTTCGTGGGCGAGCTGTGCGAGTATGGATAGAATTTTTGTGCGAGTGAATGGAAATATCAAAAGGTTAGTACTGCATTTTCGTCTTATCAATTTACTACATAGAATTTCAATTTTATTGCTAGTTTTGGGGAAAAATTAAGTTACAAATTTTCATCATTATTAGAATTACTGCTTTTAGGGAAATAATTTATAAATGAAATTACTACATTGGTATGAACTTTATTTAATTTAGCTGGTGCAAAAAATTATTAGAGTTTTGAACAATTTGAAGAAGTTTTCTATTTTTTATTTTTCTTTTGTGTATTTTGCAGATGATCGTGAGATGAAGACTAAAAATCTAAATAAAACATGGATAAAAAATGGTTAGTGTTTTATTCTAAATTTATTAGTTAAGAATATGAGAATTTATACTTACCTGTTAGTCGTCGGGGAAAAAACCGTGGGGGAAGATGTGGATTATGTCGGAATTTGTTAGTAACTTTGCTAGTATGCGAATGATGTTTTTAGTTTGAAGCAGTGGCCAAAGCAATTGAAGTGCTTTAATGGTTTTTAGTTCTTCAGTGCCAACTGCAAAATCATAAGGTGTGTTTTGGATGAGATTATATAATTTGTGGTTATATTTAGTGTTGTGGATGAATTCTAATATGGGGATTTCTATAGGTTGAACAAATTCATGTGGGATAAGGAAGGGTCTGGATTCTTCTGCGTTGAAGGTCTTTGTGATGGGACAAAAAATATACATTTGGGTTATGGGATCATAATTGCGAAGAATAACGTGAAGGTTAGTATCTTTGATGCAATATGTGAAGTTAAGAAAAAATGGTGAAGTGTACTTAGAGTTAATAAATTGAAAACGGTGGTGTGGTTGTCTTGATGGAGTGTGTAGATCAAAGTGATATTGTATGAAGCGATAATATGTATATGTGTGGGTTTGTTTAGTGCGTAACATAATATCGTGTGAGCAGTGCAAATCTCGTTCATGTGGTGCAAGGAAATGAAAGGTTAGTGAAAATAATTGAAATTTTTCTTTAAAACTTTCGTAAGCTTGTGTGTCGGTTAGTGCTTCAGAAAAGATGTGGTCGAACCTGCGATCAAATATATTGAGTGTAAATACATATGGTGTTTTGATGAAAAATTTTTCTGTGATTTGTGGGTTAGCGAAACGGTCATCATCTAAAAATTGGTCTTGGTTAGTTCGGATGATGTTGTGATCGTAATATTCTAGCGTGTATTCGTTAGCTCGGGGTGCAGTGTATGTTTTTAGTGACTTTTTATATCCTATATAAGTAAATTGTCTATGTGATAGTGGTGTGGTGAGTCGATATAGCATATCTTTATTTCTTTCTATATCGATGTGAGTATTAGATAAAGGTAGGCAAAGGGGGTTAGTAAAATGATAATATGTTGTCCATTGAAGTGTAGGCATTAAAACGTGTTCATCTACAAAACTGCGTGTGTTGTTAGTGTCGTTAGGGGTGTTCAAAGTATACTGTGGAAATGAAGGTAGGGTGATGGCTAAAAAATCTTTCGTGTTAGTGTGATTTGGATGATTAATATATTCACGGGCTTTTCCTGGTTTTGTTGGAAATGGATGGTTCGGGAATTTTCTTTTAAAAGTGCGATAAGCTCTATTAGTGCTATTTGATGATTCGGTGGATGTGGAGGATGGTGCTAATGATGCGGTATAAGCTGAAGAGGGTGTAGGGGTAGGTGGGTTTGATGATTCTATTCTGGATGAAATCTGATTTATAGTGGAATTTTCAAGGTGGAAGGGTTGTTGTTGTAGGGTGATAAAATTATCTAGTTCCTGGGAGATTTGGGGAGTATCTGGAGAATTGGATGATCGGTCTGAATGAAATGAAGAGTAGGTTGGGGTGACTTGTGAAGCATAAGAGGGTGTAGAAATCGATGGGAGTGGGTTATTTGACGGGATTGGTTGAAAAGGGGGTTTTGAAAAAACTGAGGAGTTGGTTTGAAAATTATTGGATGGAGATGGTTCAGAGTCTGCAAATTCATCAGGGGTTTCAATATCTGGGTTATTGAGTTGTGAGATGGAGTATAAAACTGAGATATGTGAATTAGTGTCTGAATTCATGCCTGATGTTACATTATTGGTTGAGAAATCGGGTGGCGGGAAAGCAAAAAGTGGAATTATTGTAATTGGAGTGTTGAGGTTGGTCGGGTGGGAATTTGAGCGGTGTAGGGATCCAAGTTGTCGGCTCATCGTGGGCTAAAAAAATTATAATTTTGGGACTGAAAAGCGGTGGTATGGGGTTGTTCTATAATTTGTTCATATGTATTTTCATCTAGTGGATGGTGTGTCATTATATGTTGAATGGGACTTTGTGATATGGTTGGTCTAAAATTTGGATTATAGGTTATTGCTAAATTTCGAAAATTTCGTGGGACTAGTGATAGTGGATGGTTATGTGGTAGGGGTGGTAACTGTGGTGCTGTAGGCGTTATGTCTACATTGTTATGTTCTTCGTCGTATGTGTTCTGTCTTGTTGCTATTTTTGTGTTGTATTCTTTTATTTGTGCGTCTAAAAGAATTTTGTTTATTGATGATGAAAAAATTCCAAAAAATCCTGCAAATAGTATGCGTGCTACACTTGCTTGTCTATTTACTTGTGTGTGTATAGCGCATGTATTATAGATTCCTTTTAAAAGCGAAAAAAGAAATCCTATAAAGTTAAACATTGCGTATAAAATAGTTAATTTTTCTAAGATGTAGTAGGGCCAGCCTAGAAAATCGAGAATTTCATTTTTTAGTGTAACAAAGCTAAAAATATTTATAGGTGAAATATCTTGTGGTCTATATTTTTCACCGTTTAGATATATATAGTCTTTAATGTCTTTAAAATATCCGCTATAGTCTTGTGTATAAATATCTGCAAATCCTGCG